ATGATGATGATGATACTGATGATGATAATACATGATGATGATGATACAAGATGATGATGACCTCTTTACCTTAGGGGGTAACTTGTTTCTATTCCTCTTCCTATTTCCTAGACCATGTGTCATTCCCTAGAGTATTATTTTTTTGTTTAATAGTTGTGCATGAGAAGACACATGAATACGTGTACAAGTCAAACAAAGAATCTTATTCTCAAGAGAATGACACATGGTCTGAAATAGAAAAACATTATACTCAAGACAAACAGGTCGATTCTAGGGTTCTGCTGATAAACAGTAGCAGGGCTTAAAATAACAGACAGTAAGTCAGCAGTCTGGACAACACCACTGGTCAAAATGACCTTCAAGGCAAATATTCGGCTGGACAAGTTCCAATTCTGGGCAGACATTGTTTGATGTTGGGCCGTTATTTTAAGCCCTGAGTAGGTACCTGATAAGTATCTCCTTTGGGATTTTCCATCTGTTGATGAAACCCAGGTCCTCCATCATGAACAACACAGCCTGAGATAAACGTTTTGACCAAAAATCATGTCTTAATACATCATTTTACAGTTCCAGTCAGTAACCACAAATAATAGTTTCATGTCGAGGTTGGAGTTTCTGCGCATAGCAAAACTACAGTTTATCATGTACTGTAACTCCAGCCTCGGCTTGGATCTATTATTCGTGGTCACTGAACGGAACTGTAAAATGGAGTATTGACTATTGCTTGATATCAATAATTGGAACAAATCACATCCATTCCATTTTAGGCTTCCAGTGAAGAGCAAACACCATGCTCCATCATCCATATATCCAAGTATTTTTTCTGCTGAAACCTGGCTGTTCAGCTGACAATAATCTCACGCAAGATTGGAATGAAGAGAGGTTCTGCATGCATATGTAGATATTGTTTTTTGCTTACTGGGATTGTCAGGTCCACCTCTAAGGTCCTCGGCATGTAAGGAAACTGTGCAAATTGTGGACCAAATTGCTTTATTTCACTGATGGGCTGTTTGAGTACACTGTCAACTTCATGTTGTGGAACCTACGAAAGAGATAAACTGGTGAGTCTACAATTGCCATCATGTTCAAATGTGAAAGCCTCTAAGATACTATGGTGAGTATCTGTTATCAATAAAGGCTTTGCACCATCACATGATAGCAGCCATGACAGGAGGCACAAAAATAGAATATTTTTATCCTGGGAAACCTAAATTTTACCCACTACCACTTTTAAATTTGATAATTTCCCCTGACCTCTTGGAATTAAGATTGAGGTGGATATATAATAGGCTTAAAACTATTAATTTTTCCGAATTTAATTCCAAGGGTCTTTCGCCTGGAATAACCTCGTTCCCAAGCACTATAACTTATCTATTTTTCTATATCTTCATATAATAGGCTTGCCGAGTGAGGTTCAGTTACTTTAGTATTGTTACTTTCTCTACTTACATTCATATGGTATATCATGAGTTCACTGCTGACTTGGCTTCTTTGCCAGGCACTGCTTGCCTTCTTGTACAACATGGACTAAAAACGAAAACCACAAAAATAACTATTTTGGTCTCTGAGATTTGATTGAATATTATAATGTCTGTATACCAGTCTAACCTGGAATATACTGATCCCACAGTAGATGGCAAATGCTTTTGTTAGATCCTCATCAAACTTGGTAAAGCAGGAACCTGGTGGAACAAAAAGCACAATTAACAGACAAAACAGCTTTTTCTGTGCTCTGTTCAGTAATAAAGCAGGCAGGAAATCATGTAAGCATGAAAGGAGCATAAGGAGAAGCACAAGCGGTAGGCGAGTACTTCTCACACTTCTTGAGTGCTTATGGTGCTTCCCAAGTTCCCTTTTATTTAGGTATTGAATTTCGTTGCACAAAAAGAAAGACAGTGGAATGATCTAGCATCACTTCGTGCACRGATGGAGTCTGCACTGTGCTCCTTCCACTAATACGTAAAGCACAGTTTTTGACCAATCAGTGTGCACATACTATTCTAACCATATTATAACACTATTTATTAAACTTATCTTGTTTCTCAATACAGATTTTTTTCATAATTATTTATCAGATTTTAGCTAGTATAATTGTCATAAATAATCATAGTAAACATGTGAAAATTCATGTTTACCATTGACTTTGTTGCACAGCTCAGCCACACCTAAGACACCTGGCAACAAATAAAATGAAACAGTCTGTTAGAGAGAGAGGTGCCTGGGATTTGCTTGTAATAGAAAAGTGATATTTAAGACTCACCTTCTTCATCCTTGATGGGAAAACACAAGACACTCCTGGACAAAAATGATACAGAGATGTTTGTCATGTGTTGCATGGTTTCATGCATTAAGAAAAGATAAATTTTTAAAAATAATAATGGGGTTTAACAGTGGATTCCACAGAGTAGCTCTTTTTCCACAGGATTCTAACTGGAACTTAGATAGTTGATTTTTATGGAGCGAGGAAAACCGGAGAACCCAGAGAAAAACCCTTGAAGCACAGGAGAGAACCAACAAACAACTCTACTCACATATGACACCAAGCTCAGTGGGACTCAAACCCGGGTCGCATTCATGAGAGGCGAGTGCCCACCCACTAGGCCACCTGTGTGAATCCCCTAAAAAGACTATCTATAATCATCATCATGACCATTAACATCATCATCAATGTCATCATCATCATCATTTACCAATACCATTATTCATCATGACCACATCTTAACCTTCATGACCATTTATTGGCATCATCATTATCATCATCTATCATCAATGCCATTACCATTGTCATCATCACAATCACCACTATAAACCAAACTCAAAATACAAAGGTAATTCTAAGAATCAACTGAGCATTTAGAAGAACAATTTTTCTTGATGCAAAGACATACTTCGTTCTGAAACCTGTTTTTTCATCCAATCCTCTGTAGAACAGTGGGTGGTTGTAGGTGTCCTTGATGTTCAGAAGCTTTCCTGAATTATACAGAAATAATTTAAATTAAAGAATTGCAATCTAACAGAGAAATAAATAAAAATATATTTCTTGCTTCAATTCAGGTGATCTTGCCTCAAAGCACGCAACAGTTCCTAATACCCAGTCTCCTATTTCATAATATCTCATGGTAATCAAAATGGCGGCTGGTGACTAAATAAGACGACACCGATTTTGCTTACTTTTATTGCATTTATACTTTGTTCTTATTCATTTTTAATTTCTGATAGGGCAAGAGGAAGCTTTTCTGGTACACATAACAGAGAATTTTTCAATATGAAGTAATATTTCAGTATTTTAAAAAGGTTAACTTGAAATAATACTCCATTTTGAAATTCATCATGGAACTTTTGGCGATGCAACAAAAATGCTTCTGATTGGTTAATAGTAACAGGAAGTGCGTGTTCAAGATCACCTGGTACGTGTGATGATCAAGTGATGACACTGTGAGTTACCTGTTAATGCAACTTGACCAACAATCCCTTGATTAGCAGGTATAGTCAAGTCCCATCCTTCCTAAAGAAATAAACAAATATCAGAGTCAGAAGAGCATTTACATTTCATTCATTTAATCATTCAGTCTCTTGGTCATTTATTCACTTATCAATTCACATAACCCATCCACGTTTCCATCCTTCCATCCACTCATCCAAAACTCGTCACTGCTAATCACCACCAACAGGGTCAGACTTAAAGCATGTGAAGGTGCCTCTGGCAGCTGCTATACAGTCCATGTATGACCCCAGAGCACAGCTCTAACCAGTTTGAATTAGTTAGGGTTGATTTGTGAGGAGGGGGAAAAACCTAAGGGGCAGAAAACCCCTCGGAAAGAGAACAAATTCACATACTCACATGGGGTGCCTGGGATTCGAACCCCAGACCTCAGAGGTAAGAGGCAAGCATTTTACCACCACTCCATCCTGACTCCCCAATCCATGTTCATCCCCTCCCAACATCCACTCCCCTACCTTCCATGTACCCAAACTGAACCTTGATACTCCATGGATCTGAGTACAAATACCGAAAAAAGTACCATTAGGTACTCTAAAAGGAAATGAAAAACATATAATAAAATATCTGACCTTATGCTTGCCATTTCCAGGGATCTGTCCATCAAACACTTTAGCCACGAGTTCATTGCGTTCACGATCAAGCAAAAACAGCGAGCACCTTAAGAAACAAAACATATTCTCAATATTGTATATTTTACTTGTACACTTAAGCCAGCATTCATTACAAGTGAACTACTAAAAAAGTTGTATTACATGAGTAAGAGTTATTGACAAAACAAGCTTTATCAATAGAATGAGTATCATTAATAATGGCACAAGATAGAAAGGAATTTGAAACTTTGAATCAGAAGGCTCTGCTTGTCAGGATTCTGATCTCAGATTGTTTGTTTTTTATCCTTGCCAGCTAGTCATATAATAAATATGGAAAAAAAGTAATGGAATTTAACAGTCCATGATGGACTAACAGGTTTGGCAACCCACTTAATACGGCTACCTATAGATCAAATTATAGTTCAGAAGTTCATTTTTATGGAGGGAGTAAAAACTGGAAAATCCGGAGAAAAACCCTTTAAGCACAGGAGAACCAACAAGCAACTCTACTCACATGCGATGCCGAGCCCAGTGGGAATCGAACCCAGGGCGCCTTTGTGAGAGTCGATTGCTCTTACTGCTATGCCACCCATACTTCCCAACGTGTTATGTTTATACTCCAGCTGGCTGTTGTGAATGTCAGCACAAAAAGCAGTGGAGTGATATATAACTTTAATTATACCAACCTCTCTGCATTGGTCAAATTTCTGGCTTCTGTCATGATCTCATTCAAAAGGACACTAACATCATCTGACAGTCAAGATACAGTAGATATCAAAATAAGAATCAAGAGTTGCATGCTTCTCCTCCTCAATTTATCAAATAATCAACCCCAAGGGGTTTCCTTAATAAACTAGCCAGAGAGTCAAAGTAAACATTCTACACATTACTGAGCTGATCCTTAAGTAAGGAAACCCCTGAACATCAGTCAATCAATCAATCCATTTAATATTAAGTGTCAACCTTCTAGGAAGTTCAGGCATTACTAGTTTAGGTATTAAAGTATAAGCAACTATTATTTTTTTCAATGATGACATAGCTTACCAACATGGGTGAAGAGGTTCTTTGCCACTTTAAGAAGATTCTTAATATGGAGAAAAATATTATTAGCTTATCAAAAACAAAGCTAAATTTCCACCAAAGCTAGACAAGTATTCGTGAGATTTACTAAATTTGCTTGAGTGAAAATAAAAGTATGTATGAAAACATTTAGTCCAACATTGAATTGGAGGAACTATTGCTTGGGGTCACTCCTACAAATACAGGAAAGGTCTTTAATTAAAGAGGTGATTTCACAGAGCAATTTACTTTGTAACTCATCTCACAACGACAACATGAGATAAGTTGCATCTGCAGCATGTAACCTACAGCGAAATTTGAAAAGATGTTGTGAGACAAGTTGTTTTATTGTTGCACCGTGTATTACTCTAGCAATTTGTGTCACAATTCTGTTGCAAGAGGAATTGCAGAAAGAATTTCTCTGTGTAATCACCTTCAGGCCTACTGACTCTATGTATCAAAACTTCCCCATGTACCAACCTCTTGCTGTCTCTTTATGACCATTTCTTTCTCCCATTCCAATGAATTGTCCAGAAAACCAGCAATGTGGCTGCAACAGAACTTGAGATTGGACTCATCTGCTGCTGTAAACCTGCAAAAATGCTTTGTATTAATCCTACATTATTCACATTCTAATTCAGACGATAGTCATAGTGGTGCACTTTGGTCTAGTCTGGGATCATACAGTTATTTCAAAGAAGGTAGGTGAAGGTTTTGTTGCTTGTTGCATGCCAAGACCAAAATGCACTATACACACATACATAAACTTTATTAACATGTCAAACTTCTAGCATGCCAGAAGTAGCACACTAATCGGGGACACTATCATGGCTGATGTGAATGCTATAAGTGAAAGGTCACAACGATATGGAATTTCAAAAGTATGACTGACTATAATAAGTATAATGTCCCGTAGCTGGTAGTGAAGACAAATTAGAGATTGCAAGGAAAAGGGGCAGTGGAGGGAATCATCACTAAGAAAGAGGGACTTCCAATGGAAAATATAGCAAACTACTATATACAAGTCTACATGAGCGCAAGAAAAATTTATCCATAATTATAGCAAAGTGTGTGTGTGTGTGTGTTTGGGGAGGATAGGGAAGTTGGGGACTATAGCCCCCCAAACCCCTCCCTCTCAGCAGCCCCTGGATTATCATCTTTACTAGTTCTACTGCCCATGATCTGCCATCTTGGATAAAAAATAAATTTACCTATTAGCTGGAAGTTCTTTATTAAAAGCACAGACCAGAGCTATAACTTCATTAGACTCTTTGCTCACAACAGGTGCACAGAGTAGGGACTGAACATAATGATCTGTTTAAAAACAAGAAGAAAAGGTATCAGCTATGTTATGACTTTGAATCTAATTCTTTGATTCCTATCAAACAAGATTCCAAATCAGGATGGAGGTGTAGTCATTTGAATGAACTTTATTTTAAGAAGATTTAAAAAGCATTTACAAAAATGTATTGCTAAATTTTCCACTGGGTAATTAATAGGCAATATTATACTCTCTTTGCAACTAGTACGACAATGTTAAATGGCAAGGTATCAGTTTCGTCTAATACTCACAGTCAATAGAATAGTTAAAGCCTTACCTGTAATTCTTACTAAGTCATGTCTTTCTTTCGTATCCTGACAACAAGACACATAAGATTAATAAAAATCAAGTCATAACACTTTTACTTAATAAGGGTAATTATATATAAATATAAAGAATAATGATAAAAACGTCATAGCCCTCTATTAATGCCTTGGTCCATTATAAAGTAAAACAACATCAAATAATATGAATAATTTTCAGCATGATAGTGATAATAGAGGCTGTAGTAATATTAATTAATATATTATAATATAGCTTTGTAGCTATCCTCTGGTCCATGATATATTTAAGTCTAATACACTGTGAGCATGGTTTTGTCAGCTCACCTTAGTTATATTACAAACAGAATATAAACTCTTGGATTTGATGGGTTCTTCAAAGATACTACCATCCACCTATGAATAGCAGAGATAAAAATACTAAATAAAGATAAAAAACAAACGATTATGAGCCCTGTATGTATAGAGGAGTGTCATGATGGGAAAAATGAAATGGTTGAAATGTCTGCTGTGTCATCCCTATATAGAATTAATATCATAGAAGATGCAAAGATATCTATAATTATAAAGTATTGCTAATATAGAAAAGGAAACTTCTTGAAGTATAGTAAGATACTTCATTATACAACTATACTTGCCTCAATCCTCTTTTCTTCCTTTTCTGATTCAAACTGCAAGAAATGATAATTATAAGCACTAGGATTATTTATCTTATAAAATGGCCAGTACTAACAACACAGCAGGTTCATTACCTTGTTGTAAAGCTCCCCTGAAGCTTGATCTAATATTAATAAAACAGCTGACTCTGAGTTTATTTCATCTTTGACCTGGTAAAAAAATAAGTGGAAGTATAAGGAATGAATAAATGAATAAATGAATGAATGAATRAATGAATAAATAAATAAATGAATAAATGATTTGAATGAATGAATGAATGAATAATGAAAAAAATGGATGAATGGATGAATGAATGAATGAATAAATAGTTGTTACAATACTGCCAGATACATTATACTTACAAAAGAGCACAAATTTTTTGAAAATGTTTCTAACCCAGTTTCTATTGATTTAGCTGAAATTAAATGCAAAATATTTAAAAAAATAAATATTAACATGATTACACGTAACAATAATTAGTAAAAGAGATGATAGATATTTACCAAAAGTATTAAGAAAAGTATTTTGTCTGTTAAAATACTCCATAYTTTTTCTTCTGTCCAGAACTTGGTTGAGACAATTAATAATCTGAAGTGAATAAAACAGTTTAGAAAATAGAACAAGCAATCTGGAGACAGCATTGTCGGCTGCCTGTCAATGGACAATGTCTGGCTAAAACTGGCACTTATCTGGCCAACCACCTCTATGGCCAGCCATTTCGACTGGCGATGGGATGTTATTATTTGTAGCCCTCTGACAGCTACAATTCTATGCTGACACACAGTGGTTGTAAAATATGAGTTTTTCCCCATCTCCCCTTGTGTTGACATTTAACAGAATAGATTTGAAAAATCTTGAAGTGGCACATTTCTTGGTAAGTGTTTATCAGAAGCAGTACCTGATTTTCTGCAAAGTCCTGACAAGCTTCTAATTCTTCTGTATATGAACATACCGTCTGTAAGAAATAGAAAATATTCCACCTTCAGGGATCTTTAAATTTAAATTTAAAGTTAAATTTACTGATCTCTTTTGAATACTTACAACTATAACCATACAAACTTGGCCATCTTCATTTAATAGTGGAGACAGCATTACTAAGTAGAATCAGAAAAATTTGATGTGAGCTTCACACATCAATATAAAGATTTTGAGTGAGACGTCATTTGAATGGAAAAACTAATTCTTGGTCCGAACTGAAAAAAGTTTTAATATGAAAGTGTTTTTTATTTCTTTACATTTTATGACAGGATTTGTTGTCCAAAGTTCTAATTGTTTTAGGTAGAGGTTAAATCAATGACAACATCTTTTGATTTATTCTGACTAGTGGTTTGTGTGAGCAGTAGGACCCAGAATTGGTCACCATCTGAGTTAATCTTATAACTATAGTATGAATGTGCATGAACTAATACAAACTTATAGGGAAGAAAACAAATGGAAAGAGACGAAAGAAGATCAAATATTTAGGACTTACCTTGTTGATTATTATTATCATAATTTAAGGTTGTTGCTAATGGCATTAGAACTGTAAGTGGATCATCACTAGGGAGATCACTCATTAGCAGTCTCTTCTTTTCCAGAAGGACTTGTCTACAAAACAAGAACACTATTATTCAGCACTATTACTCCAGTTTTAACCTGTTATATTCATTTTAGTACACAATTAAACAAATTCGATGGGCAACAAATTTATAGAAAGGTAAATTATAGAAATTATGTATCAAATTTTAGTTTTAAAGGGAAATTATTAAACCTTTAGATCTTATACAAACTGAAAACCTTTACATATCAAGTCATCAAGTTTTTAGTTTTCAATGTTCAAGAAGTTCTTGTATTGGGATATTTAACCTCCATTACCACTCTTTTCACTGTTACACGCTGATCAAGACAACAGTGGCAACAGAGAATAAAGGCAATACACTGCTGCCAATCAGAGAATATAAAAGTACCGATCAATTTATTTGATTGATGGAAGTTCACCTTCCCTTTCACCACCCCTGGATCCGACCTGATTTACAAGGTCCATAATAAAGTTGAAAAGCCAGGATTGGTCTAGGTTTTGCCAGGCTTCAAGTATTTATGCTTTATACCTTGAAACACCCTTTTTAGGTAGCCGAGGTACGTTAATGACATCTTGGCCCAGGGCTTCTAGTTCATCACTTTCAGGATTAAATATAAATACTATAATATCAAGCTGAAAAGAAATGTAGAAAAGAAAATCATGAATAATCATGAATACTGGGAATACATTGATGCCATATATTGATAAATGTAGGGGGACGAAAGAAAAGAAATGATGGATTAGTGGATGGATGGATGGATGGAATGTATGGAATGATGGATTAGTGGATTGATGAATGGATGGAATGATGGATTGATGGATTAGTGGATGGGTGAACGGATGGATGAATGGAAGTTTGTCTTATTTACTGATTTGGTGCAAGGAAATTTTCTTTATTTTTGGCAAGAGTAAAATGGAACAAACGAATGAAAAAATGGACTAACAGAATGGGAAGCAGACAACGGAAGATGGATAGATGGATGGAATGATGGATTGATGGATTAGAGGGTGGTTGGATGGATGAATGGATGGATGGATGGAATAGATGGATGAAATGATGAAATGATGGATGTATTGGTGGACGGAAGGATGGATGGATGGAGTAATGGAATGATAGATTGTTGGGTGGATGGTTGGGCAAATTGAATGGATAGGAGAAAATGATGAATAAATTAATAATGAAAATAGAATGGGATAGGAGATTGATAAATGGAGTAAGGGGAAGGGAAGAGTAGATAAATGGAAGTAAGGATGAAATGTCGGGTAGGGGATTGGATAGAGGGATGAAATGAAATTGGTATGGTAGTTGAATAAATACATGAGAYGGGATTTGAGGAATGAAAATCTCCATGGATTAAGAAATGAAAGAATAAAATAAATGATTTATCCACCAAACGAAACAAATAATTGAAATAAAGTGAATGGTTAAATTTACAGGAAAAATAAACTGCTAAATGAATCAAACAAACAGGATGGTCTTACTGAAAAAATAGCAATAAAGTAAAGCCTAAAACCTAGGAAATACCATCTAGTTATAAAAATATTAGTATTTGATGGATTGCATGAAGAATTACAATATTTGACTTGGAGTATGCTGTTATCTCTTATGAATAATGATGAAAATGAATTACACATATCTTGAACATGTCAGATTCTTGGACACAATTCTAGATTACAATCTTAGTCCATTAAAACATACTTAAATACAAAGAAGCAATAAGTAGATGAAGTCAGCATAAATATTTTTGAAAAATTATGTCAAATTCTTACTACAGGATGATAAAGTTATTGATCATTTTTCATTTAATATATGATAAACGGAAGTAATATTTCTATCACGCCAAAATGATTTTGTCTTTACATTTTTAGGAAAAGATAAAAATGCATTATTATCAACCACTAGTAACAAGACATTATGCTATCTTATAAAAGCTACGAGTACTTTGTTCAAATCAAAGCAATTCTTTTCTCAAAATATAGCATTGATTGAAATGAAAATGTTTTTTTATAAATTAAATTTACCTGTGCCCACATACCCAATTTCAATTCAAAGGGATATAATCATAATTACATTTAAGGCTTAAAATTTTCTTTGCAAGTTATTGGCATTAAACAGTAAACAGACCTATTAGGCTAGCTTAAGGTTAAACTTTTATCTTAGTCAAATAATCCTTTATTTTTTCTTTGAAAGAAAATAAATAAAATAAATGGCTTGTGTGTAATGAGGATAGTGTATGCAGGTGATACTAGTACGACATAATTAATTCATGAAAAAAACTAAATTGATGTTACTTTTTATTAAGGAAGGAAAATATAAAGACCAAGAAAAAAATAACAGTAATAATAAATATTAAAGATTTAATGTAAAATGTAAAAGAAATAATAAAAATGAATAAGATCTAGTATGATTTATTTATTTATGCTCCTGTTTAGTAATATACTATTTTGATAGTAATAGTAATAATAATAATAATGATAATAATAATGATAATAATAACAATTAAGAGAGAATTCTAATCATATTCAAGCAGTAAACGCCAAAAACTATTTTCTTAAAGAAAGGCTGTTGTACAAGGCTAAAATCTTGTTATTCAGAAAGTTTAACTTGTTTGGAAGTGGAGCATGACCGTTGAAAGAGAAATCAAAGTGTTAATCCAAAGCAATAATTTTATTCGAAAACGAGGTTTTGGCCTTCATTCGCTTATTTCCCATGTATTTTCTATAAAAAAGCCTGACAAAGTAACATTCTAACACAAATGGAACAAAACATCTTTGTACAATTGAAAATACCGCTTCAAACAGKYATTTTATCATAGTACATCAGTTTCTAACTGTTTAAAAAAGGTTTTGAGTGTTAACCCAAAATGAAAATTGGGATCAAAACTCATACGAAAGTCTAGTTTTGGGTGCTTTTTGCCATTATTGCTCATTATTGAAAAAAATTTCCTCTTCATAAGTAAGTTTAGTATTAAATYATTTAATGATAGTAATAATAATTATCATAATTTAAGTGGGTGAAAAAATTTAACATGAATACTGGCTACAATGTTTCTCCAATTTTACTCACACGCACTTCTTATACCACTACTAATACTACTACATTCAATATTGTATGTGTATAACTCAACATGGTTCTAATGTTTCCCTGTCAGAAATGTCTTGGGCACATGTTTTTTTTCTTAAATTTGCCTATCAGAGTAATATCAATACTAATGTGTCTTCTTTTTCTCTAATTTATTGGTAAAAAAAATTGATTTGTAAGGATTTAGCAACTGGTCTAAAATTGGAATGCATTATTGTTCAAACAAACGAGCAAGAAATTAATTGACATGCCTTAGAGGTAAAACAAACAATTTTAAAATAAAAACTTGTTAATAAGAAAACATTGGAAGAACATGATTAATTTAAAGAATCAAAGTTTCATTAAACCATTTCTCTTTTAAAGAAAAGAAAAGAACAAGTAACTCGTGGTTTATATCATCTTGATGGCCAACTAATGAATAGCACGTTCAAGAAATGTGTGATTTGTGGGTGCTTTACGTTTCTAAGAACCCTCCTCAAATCCTTTGAATTATTAGCACCTTTGCTGAGCAAAGCACTTTAATCACTTTTATTATAGCATAAGTTTAAAAAAGACGCAAATCAAAATAAATAATTTAGTAATTTACATGGATATTTGCAACAAGAGTGAGCAAAATGAGATATTTTCTTTCATCTTTACTTGTGAACATTGAGTGATTCCAGCAATTTTGGAAAGTAGAACAGAAATCTTAATCCAATAGGGACAGTATTATTTCAAGTACTTGATGAATGGAAGCTAAAATGCTGTTAAATTGAGAGATTTATTATATTTGCCTTTCCTTGTACTACATTTATAATGAGCCTTTAGACTTCCTAATGGCTATGCAAATCCATTTTCGTAAATGCAAGCTTCAATAATTGAAGATCAACTGACACTTTCATGAAAGGCAGTTTAAGGGCATTATATTGGGAAGTTCCTTAAGGATTGAAATCTCATGTCTTCTGATGGCAAACTGTCTGACCTGCCGTCAGTCAGCTAATGGTAAATACACCTACTAATAGACATAAGACAATTTAAAAATTAACAGACACCAAAACAATGTCTTTGAATACCAATTATTATAGATTTGATTGACTTTGATAAAAAATAAAAGATCTTTGAATATTTCAAAATTAATAGACATGACTAGGTGTGACAATTAATACATAAGTCTGACAATAAATATTTCGAAAAGTCATGCAATGGTTTAGCCAACTTAAGTTTTAGATTCAGCGACTTCAAACCTTGAGGGAAATGCAGGCTTAGTTAGTTATTTAGTCCTATTACCCAACTCTTCTTAATGGGTTGAATGGGATTTTGAATCAAGACTTTTGCATATTAATCACATGAAAGGGGCATGCCAAACACCGAAAACCCCAAACACCTCGAGGGATGTTTTGAGATTTTCAATGTACATGGTTACCTCAAGGTACCATTCTTGATATTTCATTGCTAGCACTTGACAACAAGGACACAAGTATGATTTGTGGTGAGATAGGAGACAGAGTGAGCCCCTAATTACAGTAAATCTTGCTGAAATAAGAAAAAACATCTACATCAAAATTGTTTTGTCTTTCTGATATAAAGATCTTTTAGAGTCGCATAATTTGTGTTGAAAATGGTAAGCAAATGAGGAACTCCTAAGAAAAGGATAGTCTTCCAAAAACCAATAAAATTAATAGGATATTGAGTTTTGTTTTGAAAAACAATATATGTGGAAAGCGACATGAAAAAAAAACCCCGGAAAGCCACGATTTCGAGATTCAAGATGAAGAATGAAATATCCAGCTACACAAAAAAATAAAATATTGCTTGCTCTCACGGGGGGGATTTCAATTTGCTACCATACATCTGAAACTAAAAAGGAAAGAATGATTAGCGGTATTCGTAGCATTATATTAACTTCCATGATAGATCTACCGAGATTTGGACCAATACTGCATTGAGTAACTTGTTAGTTTTTGTAATATCAGCTGGTACCAGGATTAAAGTATTTTATTTGTCGTGCTCACATGTCAATATTTCTTAGCACTTGTTCAAACTAAAACCCCAACGCTTATTATTATTTATTTCCAATGACCGTCAGATTAAGAAATTCTCTCATTTCGAGGATTAGGTTATTTTTCTCAACCTCTAAGTATTACTAATGGTGAATTCTTGGAGTTATTGTCGCCTTGCTGCGACTAAACAAAATATTTCTGCGCGAAAACAGTACAGAAACAATAATTAGTATAACGAGAGYGTCCTACGAAAAAAAAGTAAATAGTACAGTTTGACACGCTTTTCAATACAAGATACTTTTGTTGGTGCGAAAAATACTGTTATCGATTGAAAGGCAGACACAGTAAAATTTTAATTGCATGCTGCTGAGAGATAGATCTAGGAAATTAGGAACAGAAATTGATATTTGGAAAATATCGGACGTAAAGGAAACAAAACAACAAGATGAAAAGGAGTTTCCTTGACAAATTGACTCGTAGTTCCGCAGAATTTCGGTAAGCCAGCTAAATCAAGCAGGAAAACGGGTTTTAAAAAATAAAAAGAGATTATTCGAAGATAGAGTAGCTGGTCTTGCTGGTTGTATCTTAATAATTACAATAAAATGACTGTCAATAGTAAAGTAATCAGAGCGTAGAAGTGTGTGTGACAACTACCACTTTACATCTCAAAAAGACAACAACTACATACGCGAACGACAAGTAAACACAGCTCTTGAGCAATATGCATAAAAAATATTACTCACAGCCTCAGGTAGCAGGCAGTGAAGAAGCGYTTCTGCCGATATCGTAAATGAAAGAAGATCTTTTGCCGTCCAAAGACCTGCCAGAGCATCCTAGAAAAAAAAGAGAGAGAAAGACAACAYAAGCTAATGTTTTAGGTTGAACCGCCAAACCAACACAATACTCAAAGTGTAAAACTGTACAGACGACAAAGCCACAACTTCAACGAATCGTAAAGAGTGGAGCTGAAGGTTCGACGTCTTTATGACTAAATAACTCGAGCGGAGAAATTTGGTTTAATGCGCTTGCAGGGAGCAGAGCCAAAAACGTCTCTAACCTGAGCTTGACTTGTCAGCCATACTCCTCGGCTCTCCTCCTTCCCAGAAACATTTAAAGCTAAAGCCTTGAGCTTCTTCGACAGGTAGAGCAGAGCAGACACGATCATCTGGTGGAACACAAGCACCATAATGGCACAAAGTAAACTTTGTACACGAGTTTAAAAACGTCCAAGAAGAGTGATTTTTTAAGTGAACGTGGATCAAGAGATTACTTTAGTCACTCACTTCCAGCCAACAAACCCGCGCTAATGTTTGCATCCAGCCCCCAAATATGGGCATCGAGAATTAAAATCCTCCAACATGATTGGTTAATCCGTTTTGAACTCAACTGTCCACCCCTCCCCCTATCTTTATTCATCCATCGTTAAGCTTCCTAACTTTGAAATTTTTAAAATACATTAAATATACACTAGACACTCTACATAATTTGTATCTCATATGTGAATTTTTTTTACCAGCTTAAGTTTATACCTTTGAAAATAAATTGAATTTTGACTGAACGGATATCACTACTGATCAATGTCAAAATGGACATTTTTTGGGCCTACCAAGGACACCGAGAGGCTGGCACGTTGAATCTCATTTTGTTGAAGAAATATTTTACGCTTTCTTTAAGTGGCCCGACAACCTGGGAGTTGAGGTCTGCAGTGCTCTCTTATTATACACGTCTATGTTTTTGATCAATACACTTGCCAAGAATTACAGGAAGTCATATACRTTTTAACACCTCTGATGCCGAAAGTCAAATATTCCATCAGTTTTCAATAGAGACAATTTACTAAGAAGTTTTCTAAAACAAACATTTTAATAAAGACAAGTTTTTTCATGTGTTTGTCGTATTTTTGATAATGTTAGGTTTCAAATGACAATGTTAATTACTGAACTTTTGACACCCAAATGTATCTTTTAGGTCAGTCTGACCGTTCAATAATTCAAAATAATATTTTCCTTACCCAATATCAATTTGAGAGAGACAAGTCAAGAAGCTGAAAAARATTAGACAATAATAGTTGCAGTTTGAATCGAAGTGGCGAAAATAATATATTTTTTAAATTTTAGCGTGACGAGACCGACAGGACATGATATGACGTCATATACCGTGGAAGTTCCGATTGAGGCGCGCAGTGCATAATGTAAATCAATCAAGTAATTTTTGGTGGTAAACAGGAGAATAGTAAATCAGTTCGGCCTAGTTGTTGTTATTATTTGTGATATATTCAGTAAGAAAGTGTGGTCTTTAAATGAAACTTTAAAATAATGATAAATTCGTAAAGCGGAAATTTTCTAATCATCATAGTGACTAGTAACCGTATAATCATCATGATCATCGCCTCCAAACTACTAGAACAATAATGTGTGCGTGCAAACAGAAGATCACCCAGAAATTACAAAAGCAAAGCATCTTTAAGTCGTCTTTCAAAAGAAACAAAAAAATGTCAAGAAAGGTCTTAATTGACATGTACAGGTGGTTTGAGATCTAATGGATAAAATAGGATCATGTAAATTTGTAAAATGATAGAAGCATTGGTGTAAGAGTTTCCCACAAATGGCCGACGCAGTGGGGATCCAAGGGGTGGTCTCAGGGCCTGGGGGCCGGCCTTGACCCTCCTTCTTTAATATGTTACCCCTATGATCACATTTTCTAGCATTATAGGTTGGTTAGTATAAACATTGAATATTATTAATTGCTAGGGACGGGGATCTTCTTGATTTTGTGACACCCCCTATTCAAAATTCTAGATCCACCCATGCAACTAAACTAAACTAAACTAAACTAAACTAAACTAAACTAAACTAAACTAAGCTAA